GTGCAGAGCCCCCTACACAATGTAGGAGAGTGGGGGGCAGCAGAGATTGCCCCCCACCCAGCAGCACCCGGGAAGTGAGGGCTTTTTTCCTTTTTTTTCCAAGTGCTGGGAGCTGAGGCAGGTAGAGCAGCCATTGCTGGACTGGGAGAGTGGGCAGGCGATGGGCCTGCATGATTAGGAGATTCAGCAGGAACGAGATCTCCAAATCAGTTTCAGCTGAATTGATTTGGGACAGTGATTCGAATCACCAAATTGAAGCACTGTCTCCTGAATCAGCCAAATCCGAAGCAAATACTAGCCGCTTCACACAGCCCTACCTCCCCAGGTTGTCGCATCAATGAAATTCAGAAGTGACAGATGGTAGACAGCTTCATAATGCGGCCTCAATCTGAGCAGTATAGCCACTCATCCTAGCCTGCCATCTTACAGCTAGTCAGCTAGGCTCAGCAAGGCTGCCCTGAAGCCTCCAGCAGGGCCTAACTCTCCACCCACTCACTGGTACTAGAGTTGACTCTCCAGTTCCCCATTTAAACTCATGACCCAGAATAGGGAGTGTCTGAGCAAAAGGGATCCATCTTATCTCAGATGGCCCTTGGGTCTCACTTCCTCCCTGATTCTGGTCACTGCCTGATCCCCTGGCTCCCAGACTTAGCTGGTTCCTGGACCCTGTTCTCTGCTTTAGACCATAGACCATGTTCCTGGCTTCTCAACCTGACTGATTCTGAGACTGTTCTCTACTTAATTTCCCCCAGTTTACTGGCTTGGTCTGTTTTTAGAACCTGTTTTTGGATTAAACCCCTGGCTTCCTAATCCGGTCTGACCTTGAAAACTGCTCGTTCCTGCCATCCCTGGTTGGCATTTTGATTCTCTGAGTAGCCCAAGACCTAGCTGCCCATGACCTGGCATGATAATAAATTACTTCAGTTCAACCTCAGCTTTTATGCCTCAAAGGGCCCCTCTGCACATTACATTTATGCTGCAATTATGATGTTACTTGTGACATAAATGGCAAGGTTGCACCAGGTCACACAGGGCTATGGGCACCTGTCCTTCAACTTGCTGTTGCAGGGGGAGCTGAGAATCATGATCTTGGGCTCCCCCTGCACTGGCAAGTAGAAAGATTATAGCTGAGATCTAATTCCTGATCCCAAAATCATGCCTCCTGTCTTGCACATATGGCATGGAAGGAGGTATGATTGTTGGGATCTGGACTCAGATCCCATGGCACCTTTCAACGAACTTGTGCCAGGGCCCTAAAGAGTCATATGGGGTATAAATTTCAGTGAATTGCCATGTTGGTTTTTGTGATACAGACACTTCTTTTCCATCAATAAGTCTTGATTTTATCATGCCCAGATTTTTGGTTTAATAGCCATTTAGTCATGTGCCTTGTATCATATGATTTATATCACTATCTTTTGGAGTGTTGCAAAGTCACCCAGTAGAACGATTAAATAGAGTCTAGTATCCCATGCACAACAAATGATAGTGATTAGAGACTGAAAAACTAGGATGTTTAATATATTGCAGTTCACCTAACTATGCTGAAATATTTGTATTAATTAAATAGCCCCTGCAGTCAAGAGCAAAGTTTATGTAATTTAGAGATAACAATGCACAAGCCAAAAATAGAGAACAACTTGTCAGAAAGGAAAAAGTATTGTATAAGAAGCAGAGAAAACCTCATGAGTCAGTATTTAAAAAAGAAATACCTAGCACAACTCATGTGATTAAAGCCAATGTCAAAAAACAGCAATGTATCCACTTTTAGATAGATAATAGTGGAAATAATGCAATGTTCTCTTTAAATTATTTTAAACTATATTATTTGCATTTAACTTCTCATTTTTACTGTACATGTCTTTTAACAGTTGGTTCAAGGTTTTGAAATATGGAAGGCAAGTCCTGGAGCACAGATAATATGAATTTCAGACAATTAATCACTGATATTTAATGCCCAGATAGACTTCTTTGTCTGTAAACTGAATTGTAGGTTTCAATTATGCCTTTATAAGCATGACCTTGACTCAACTTGTATGAATTGAACCACCCAAAGAGGCACTGTGATTCAAGAATCCAGTTCCTTCCTCATTTCTCTTTTACTCTGGGGCAGAAGTAAATTTCTTCCACCTTTATTAAGGAGCAATTTATACATCATCATGCCCCTCCCACTTCCACAGCTTCCATCCACCCTCTCCTGGCCTTGTTGCTGGCAGCCAACAGGGTAACTGTAGAGAAAATATAGCCTTCCTTTTCCTCCAGTGACCAGAGGCCAAATCCAAGCAAGGTTGAGTTAGGAGGTAAGTTGGCCCTTATCAGAATTTCTTATATGAAACCCTATTTTTAGATATTTGTAGCTCAGCTGAAAATGTCATGCACTGTGGAGTTTCAGATAAGATAAGTTGTGTTACCTGTCCTGAATGCACAAAAAATTAAATGCATTGGCTGCAGAGACTTTCATGTGTTCATCTTGAAAATTAAATTCATATGTTGAAATGTATTTTTGCAGGGGACTGGACTCAAAAGACCACAGTCCAGATTTACTATTTTTTGATAGTTAAATGTCTGAAAAACTGGATACAAAGTGGAATATCTGAAGAGATGCAAGCATACAAATATGTAAGCCACAGTAGTTTTCATAAAATATATCTCCTACCTTTTTGCTTTATGGAACTGCTTGTGTCTGAATTCTACCAAGACTTATCCACATGCTCTGCTTTAGTTATAGACACACATATGCTATGAAAAGAGGAATTTAAAAAGTGCAGCTAAGATTTAATACAACAAGGTACATAATATTTCAGTTATTTCCTCACCAACCCTTTTATTTGTTTCCAAATAATCTCAGTCATAATTAGGCAAAATAAAATAAGAATACATAAGAGGCTGATTTTAACCTACAAAATTAAAGAAATTTGAAGGGAAGGTTAAAAATCTGATATTACCCATCTAAATTGTGTCTAGATACTTCAGGAGTCTCTGAACAGTCTCTCTTACATACTAAAAGTACTTCAGGATAGGATAAGAATGCTGAATTTCCCAGCTATGTGAGTTTAAGGCAGCTGCATTATCTTAGTTTAGCTCAGGGGCAGGCAATTATTTTGGGCAGAGGGCTGCTTACTGTTTTGGCAAGCCATCAAGGGCTGCATGACAGACAGCCCAAGGCAGATAAATATTAATTTTCTAAATTTTTTAGGGGCCCTGCAGGCTGAATGGAATGGCCCCCGGGCCACATTTTGCCCACCCCTGGTTTAGCTCATCTTTGAATTTCATTTTTCATGTTAATTTAGAAACAGGGAAAACACAAGACAAAATCTTCCCTTTGCCACACAGTTTCATTTTGCAGAGAGTTTCATTAACTCCTTTTGGTTTCAGTTCTCATGGGTTCACATCCTCAGAGTTCTGCTTTCTTATGAACCTAAAACCCTCATAGTGAAAGTAAGCTGCAGATGCTGCATTTTGCATGGTCTCTACACAATCAAAGAGATGGGACCATAGTAAATTTTATCTTCGGGGATCCTGGTTTTCCCTGATAAAAAATTGCAAATTCTTTGATAAACTCCCCCAAATCCGTGATTAAAGTGAAAGGCCCTTCACTCTCCTCCACAGCTCCCCTGGCCTTGCTGGTGCCCCTTACTCCCTCCTGCCAAACCCCTCCAGTTTTGCTGCTGCCACTCACTACCTTCTCCCAGCCCCCTGCCTCCATCAGCCCTGCCAGAGGGGGCCCCCAGCTGCCATGGCTATGGAGCCAGGGACCCAGGTTCACAGCCCCCTGTCCCTGGCAGGAGGCGGTGGCAGCTGCTTCAGTGGAGTGGAGCCCAGCTCCCCCCCTGCTGCTGCAGGTTCAGGTGCGGGCAGCAGCTCCCCACTGGCAGGGGAGACCCATGCCCCCCAGATATGTGCGTGGGATGGAGGTGGGCTGCCCGCTGTGGGGCCTCCACAGCCCACCAAGTGCAACTTGGCTCTACAGGGACAGCGGGGCCTCACGGGGAACTCCTTGCCTCTGCAAGCTCCACGCTGCCCTGGCAAGTTGTCCCCTGCATGCATGGCAGCAGCAAGGGGCACAACCCCACGTCACCATCCTTGCTTCAGCCATGCCTTCAGTGGACACATAGCCAGGGCAGTGCAGAGCTTACAGCAGCAAGCAGTTTTCCTGCATGGCCCCACTGTGCCGTGCATGCCTCCCAACATGCCCATGGGCTCCTTGGCCTGCCAGAGACTGGCAGGAGGCTCAGGCCACCCCTGATGAGCTACTAGACATAGGTAAGCATGCCTCTTCCCCCTTCCACATCATCTGTCAGCCACAGGCAGGCAGCACAGGGGCAGGGAAGGGAGGTGTCTATGTCCTTATAAACCACATCATGAAGCACCCCACAATGTACACACACAGCTGATACTGAGCCCAAGAGAACCCCTGGGCTCAGCCCCATGGAGCCCAACTCTGGCTCCCACACACCCATCCAAGGACTTCCATGCCCCCATAAGTGGGCATGGCCCCATGGAGCCTGACTGGGCTGCCAGGTATGGGAGAGATTTCCAGCCCCCCCCCACCCCTGCTGCTAGGGCTATTTCTGTTTGCAATCATAGATTTCATAGATTTCATAGACATTAGGGCTGGAAGGGACCTCGGAAGATCATCAAGTCCAGCCCCCCACCCGAAGGGCAGGAAGTCAGCTGGGGTCATAGGATCCCAGCAAGATAAGCATCCAATTTTCTCTTGAAGGTGTTCAATGTAGGTGCTTTAACCACCTCTGATGGTCCATTAACCATCGGAACATTTAATATAAAATACATAAACAATTCAAGAAGGCAACCAGAGGGAGTGTGATGCTGTACCCTGGTGAGGCAAACACTCCCCTGGGATGAGTCCTGGGTTTTGGTATCTGCTGCCAGGACTCATTATTCATTTTATACTTTACCTAGGACAGGGCTGTCCAACTTCTCAGTAGCTGGGGGCCGCACCCCACATGGCCTGCAACAGGGGAGATGCACCCCACGTGGGCCATAATAATGGGAGCCAAATGACTCCCTAGACAGATTTCCCCACTGCTGCTTGGTGGATGTGGGCCACCTCCTCCCTTGCTCCACTACATGCACAGGCAGTCGCTTCCACCATTTCACTGTGTGGGTGGCTGAGTTGTCCCCCCTACTGTGGGCTCCTGCATGCCGAAGGCAGGCAGTGGTGGAGGAAGCCAAAAAGAAAGCCCAGAGCACTTGGCTGCAGCTATAGCTACAGCCAGAATGATGGACCAGATAGGAGCCTGGAGGGCCACAGGTTAACCCCTTGCAGGCTGTGTGGCCTATGGGTCACCAGTTGCACAATCCTAATATAGGACTCCTCTCACCTTTCAGAGAGGGCTGTAACCACGTGGTAACAGACACATGCTCTTGCTTGCTTCCTCTCCTTCCACTCCCATTAATCTTGCATTCTTGGCTGTGGTGGAGATCAACTTCAACTAAAGGGGTGGCAAATCCTTCCCTACTCCTCAAATTAAACCTGTAGCATGGTGGTTATGGGACATACCTGTGAAATACAATATATGGGTTTGAATCCCCTAAAAGTGAAATTGTATAGGAATGGATCTCTGATTTTGTAGCCAAATATTCTAACCATACAGCTACTAGGCAAAAGATAAATGACATCTCTACATTTTTACTGAGTTGCATGCAAGCAGGCACATCTACACATGAAGTTTACTGCAGATCTGATTAGAATAATAGAAAATTAGAGTTTGAAGGAACCTCAGGAGGTCATCTACTCCAATCCATTGCTCAAACCAGGATCATCCCCAACTAGATCATCCCAACTAAGGCTTTGTCTAGCCAGGTCTTAAAAACCTTCAAGGATGGAGATTCCACCACCTCTCTGGGTAACCTGTTCCAGTGTTTTACTACCCTCCCAGTAAGAAGGCTCTTCTTTATATCTAATCTAAACTTCCACTGGTGCAACTTGAGACCTTTGCTTGTTGTTCTGTCATCTGCCATCACTGAGACCAGTCTAGCTCCATCCTCTTTGGAATTACCCTTCAAGTAGTTGAAGGCTGCTATTAATTCCCTCTCAGTTTTCTCCTCTGTAAACTAAATAAGCCCAGTCCCCTCAGCCTCTCCTCATAAGTTATAACCCCCAGGCCCCTCCCCATTTTTGTTGCTCTCTGCTGGACACTCCAATTTGTCCACATTTTTTTCTGTAGGATTTGCTCCACAGTAAAGCATCACCATTTACACGTGCCCTTGTGTTATTAGCCTGGAGTAAACTAAATAATTCCACCATAGGATAGTATTTCCCAACACAAGTACCACCTACAGTAGAGTTATTTACTTCACTGCAGTCCACATATAAGACACTGACTGGGGCTGGCTGGGGCAGGAGGGTGGTACAGTGTGGGGCTTCCTGCCAGCTAGACCTGCACTGTAGTACCTTCCTGCCCCAGCCAGCCCCTCCACAGCATGTTGAGCTGGGTCAGAGCAGCCCCAGGCTGGCAGGCTGTCCCCTGGGGCCCCTTGTCAGCCAGGGCTGCGCCAGCCCAGCTCACTTTGCTGTGGTCCCGGGCGCATGTGTAAATGCTGCAACTGGGAGCAATAAATATCAGTGTAGTTTTATTGCCTCGAATTAATTTCACATGTAGTGGCACTCAGCTTTCACTAATGGTCACAAGGTAAGCTCTAACTTTGCCTAAGGACCTGAGTAGTTCATTCAATTTTTGATACCTCCCAATGCTCATTTGTATTGTAATGGATCTTAGGCATGAGAGAGCTACATCACTTCTGAGCATGCTCAGTTGCCCAAATCTAGGCATCTAGGAATCTTTCTGGATCAAAACAGAGAGAAATCTAGTGAATTCAGGAGATAAAGAAAGTTTTGCAGACATTAAGTAGGGTGAGTTTGAATAATTCTTTGTGACCTATTAGTAGGGACTGATGTAATTTCAGTTTCAGGGGATTTCAGGGGAAAGTCCAAAATTTAACATTTCCCCTGAAGCCCCAGAAAACTTCAGTTTGGCTGGAAATGGCCTAAAACCATGGGAGAGAGGGAGGGCGTGAAAAAAGTATATTAAAAAAAAAAAAGACTTACCTGAAAAACTGAGAAGAAGGCAGCAGAGCCCTGGAAACAGCATGGGGGCTTGGGAAAGGTGTGCTAGGTAGGGGGGAAGCCCCTGCAGTGGGGGCACCCTGCACCCCATGCCCAGCTATGGGGGCTGTGCCAGGTGCCTGCCCCCACAGCCAGATGCAGGGCGGGAGTTTCCCAGGCCAAGTGCAGAGTCTCCTGAGCCCCACTGTGCACAGAAGGAGAGGGAGAAATTCCCCTCCTCTCCTGCACAGCAGGAAAGCAAACCAGGGCTAGGGAGACCCTGTGCCAGGCCAGGCAAAGCTCCTACCCAACATCTGGCTATGGGGGCAGGTACCCAGAAAAGTGGAACTCCCTCCCTCCAAGTTTCACCCTATTTACCCCACATCCAGCCAGCTAAGCAAAGCCTTGGCTAGGATGATATATTTGGGTTGATCCTGCCTTGAGCAGGGAGTTGGATTAGATGACCTCCTGATGTCCCTTCCAAACCTCATTTTCTGTTATTCTAAATTTATTTATTATGGTTTCATTAAGAATTCTAAGTGGTGAGCTTTACTTAGAAGTTGTTTTTTTAATAAGTGGTAAGTTTTACTTTCTTCAGATAGCTGAAGAACAGCTTGTGTGCTGCTGTTCAATGGTAATCAGCCCCACGGCAGGCCAATAAGCAGCGTGGGAAAGCCTTCCCTGAAAAATGCTGCAAATTGGCTCTGGTGAGCCTGCAGGACATCTGCTTTTCCCCTCACTGGTGCGTGAATTACAGTGGTCCCTACATATTAGGTACCTATGTTCTGCCTCTGTTATTTAGGCTTAGATTTTCACTACTTTCATAAAAGCAAATTATTTCAATTTATGCTTCAGTGCCTTGCTTTGGGGTAATTAATAACAATTAGGAGTTGAATTAAAAAATAACAACTGTGTGAATTAAGAGTTACCCACAATAGAATTTCATATTATGTAATTGCCATATAGCTACATCATATTTCTAGATACAGATATATAGGGCATTTTTACATGTGGTCTGGGAGGCGATGCCGGGTGGTTTAACTAGTGAGCCGTGCTAATGAAAAGCACCCATGTATCACGTGTATCAGCATCCCCATGCTGAAAAATTGTGGCAGGGCACTTTGAACTAGAGCTCATCGAATGTGGTTTAGTTCAAAGCGCCCCGCTACCATTTTTTCAGCCCAGGGATGCTGATACACTTGATGCGGGAAGTTGCCAGAGCACGTCAATTTCCATGCTCCAGCAGATTCAATTAATTGAATCTGCTCCAACATGCTGGATTTCCAATGTGTTGGAGCAGGCTCCCCACATGTCTGTGGGAGCCCATAGATACTGATGTAGACATGACACCGATCCCCAGTCTGTGACCCTGAAGAACACGCTATGCATTGCTAGTAAGTTGCAGCCAGAATTCTAAATGTTACTTTGCATGCAAAATATGCAATTATTATACTTATAATTTAATCTCAAAATACAATTTTTTTTCATATCCTCAATATCTTACAAACAGGCATTACAATTTGGGGCTGCAATTAGCTTGCATTTGAAAGCTTGTCTAATCCTATACCAGCAGCTGGTCCAATAAAAGATATCACCCAAAGAAATCCTTGCCTCTCTAACAAAACAAAACAGTTCACTTAGTTGTCTTATAGTGCAGACTTATAATTGGAATGCTTAACTCTTGATTAAAATAGAGGCGTAATTGTGATTTCTTCTGACGCCTCTCCTTGAAGGAAAACCAGAATGGGAACTATGAGCTATAATGATTTTTAAATGTTTCAAAACATTCTTGAGCAGCTACCAGGGGGTCAAAATGCTAACATTTGCTAAAGGAACCTTAAGCTTAACTGAACTATCTGTTTTCTTATCCAAAGTACTTTGAAGCAACATTAGTAAGAGACAATTTATTGTCCCAGTGAAAACAATTACCTTGCACAGATGAAAGAGAAGGGCTGGGGGGATATATTTACTTTTCCTAATACTTATTTCTGTGAGTCAGGAGAATGACTCAGTATGATCAGTGATGTTGACACTAGTCTCAGAGAGAACTAGCTACAATTGCTTCTGTGGTGTTTATTGGTTTTGGAGGTGGGGAACAGAAGAATACACTGAACACATGTATATTGATCATAGAACAAAACAACATAGCAAACATTCAGCATTAAGGTCTGGATTCTCAGCTGGCATGAATTGGCATAGTTGCATGAAGTTAGTGAAATCAATGTAACTATCAATTGACACTATGCTGAAAACATGATCTTAAAAATAAGAACACCAACATGCAGCATTGATGGAAAAAACCCTTAAAAACTATCACAACTGAAAATGTCAGCAAGAGCACAAAACAAACCTGAGCCAAAACTATTCAATATATCGTACTGTCTTTCAAGGCTCAAGGTACTGCTACAAAAAACACAAAAAGTTCCTTTGTACATTGGTAAAAATAACTGGTTGTGTGGGAAGGACATTACAATATTTGGAACTTTTACCATCTTTCTGGAAGCTGGGCATTAATGTTGAAGTTTAAGCTGTGTGAGATATGAAGCTTGGAAGAGAGACATTCCAGGGGGTGAAATCTCATGGAAGAGAAGATCCTGGAGTTAGGGCTGGAGTGTTTAGGCTAGGCAATACCTCACTGTACCCGGACACTGTTCCCAGGGAAATAACCAGCATTAATGCTCCATGTATTCTCCATCATCCAGCAAAAGGACATGGCCTTATTCCCTTTGCACATTCCATTCTTGCCTTCAAGAACTGCTTGCCTCCTAAAGTGCTCTCTGAATGTAGTCTTTGCTGCTCTTGGTAATAGTATGAAGGTTTCATCCTCCTTTATTCATCTTTCCTGTTTACTTTTTCACTCCTGATCCAGGTCCTCTACCAACTGAGACTTCCTGTTCATCTTCTTTAGTTCCAGGAATACGATACCCTTTGTTCTTTTTTTTTCTTTTGGTTGTAACACCCAATGATGGAATAGGTAGACAGGCAATAGTGTGGTGAGAGGGAGGTTGTCACTTGGGTTCAAATCCCTCTATCCTCTATAGAACCAGGGCAGGCGAATGTTACTTAACTATATACAATTTATTGATTCAGAATATAAATATATAAAATACATCTGAAAAGTGAGAATAAATATTCACAAAGTATAGACAATAAACAATACTCCAAAATAATTGGTGGTCTGGGAACTGACCTTCCACTGGGGTGTCACCCTCAGCACCAAACCCGATAGGGGAACCCTATAAGCAACAAGCATGGTGAGTCCTCTAGTCACCCCAGGCACAGAGGAGTGATGGATCCTGAAATAGGTAAGCACAGGTAAATTAACACAGCAAGCGAATAACCAGGAATCCAATGGGACAATAAATAGAATATGGCAGTGGAAGGGTAAAACATAACAATAAAAAAATTGGTTAGAAATAGTATAGACAATATACAAAGCAACCTTGAAAACATTAGGTACATACCAACCCTATTCTGGAAGCATAGACACATTGGAAGCTAGGGTCCCCTTCTCCAGAGATCACAGGCCTTAGCAAAACTCTTGATAGCAACAATAGGGGCCCAGTGCCGTCCTTCCTGGGCCAATGCTGGGACTGGGGCTTTTATTCGCTGGCTTCCCAGTGGGGTCCTCTTTCCCCAGAAATCACCTCCCCTGTGGGATCTGCTTTCCCCAGCAACTCACGTTCCCCTCTCCAGAGCAGTTAGGGCTCATCTCATGGCCTGGTGTCCTGCCCCAGGCACCCAGGCCGCGCCATGCCACCTCCTCCGTTTTCCGGCCTCGTGCTGGGGTTTCCCCACAGCTTTGCACTCCACTCTGGGCACTGACATCTCTTTATGCTATGGCTGGGCTGCAATCCTGGATCCCCTGCCAGCCTTGTACCTGGGGCTTTCCTGCTGCCCCCATGCTCCGCTCTGGGCACAAGGAGGGTGGGGGGGCTCTTTTAGCTCTGCTGAGCCATGCTACCAGCCTCGGCTACCTGGCCTCATGCCTCATGCTGGGATCACAAGCCTGAACCCCCTAAGTGGCTCCCAAGGGCTGAAGCTGCGTGCACCACAAGGTGGCCTGAGCGGTCTCGAACCACTCCCAGTTGTGCACTGCAAGTTGGCCTGAGCAGTCTTGAACTGCTCCCAGGGCCAATATTCCATGCACCAGGTCGTGCACTGCTGGAGCCTCCCGCCATTTGAATCCCCGGGCAGAGTCTTGAGAGGCTCTTCTGGGTGATTGCCCTCTGGGCAGCTCTCCCCAGCTCTTCTAGGCCCCACTCTTCTCGAATCCCTCGACGTGTCTGTCCTGCATGCCAAGCACACTGTCCTTTTATTTTCTTCAGAGGCTCTGCCCCTAACATCTGCTGGACCTGCAAGGTGCAGTTCTCAATCAGGTCCAAGGTTCTTTGCCCCCTCCCCACTCTTCCAGCCAGTCATCTAAGGTCTGAAATAGTGGTTCTCAACTTTTTAGACTTATGGCAGTCCTCATTAGGCTCAAGACATCCCTCAGAAAATGTCAGCTTTAGCTTTCATTCATTTTTGACTAAACAAAAAGAATGGAGCAATTCTTCTGTTGCAAAGAACTAAGAAGACCACAACAGGTCAAAATGTTGTTGACACTGTGGATTTCTACTGTTTTTAATTTGTGAATCATGTGTAGGTGTTTGCACACCTAGCAGTGTTAAAATTGTGGAGCATCTCACAAATCCCTTAGACTGATCTCATGGCAACTTGAGATGCTGTGACACCCTGGTTGAGAATCACTGATCTAAGCCATTAACTTAAAACTGAGAGGAGGTTCACTGAGCACATGTGCACTGGGTCTGCTATAAGGTGCTAACATACCTGTGCTTTTTTTTATGGGCTTCCCTATGAATTTACTCCCATATGAAACAAGGAACCAATGTTTTTCCTCATGTACAATGGGCTGTGTGTACAGTAGACTTTTATGTCAAAATTGTCTACCATCATTACTACTGGTTAAACTCTACTGGTGTAATGCTGGAAGTGCTAGTGTAGACAAACCTCCCAGCATGGACCATAACTGTATACATTTCTAATCTAGCTAGAAGCAGTTTTAGATGGCACAATGGTTATAATAATGGTGGCCAGAGGTGCCTTTTCTGTGCCAGTGCTCCCACAATTGTTAACATTAGTGGAATGGAACTAGTGTTACCAATGGTGATGTTGTGGGTTGGGAAAATACCAAAGAAGCTAGTGAGCATAATCCCTGCCTTTCATTTAAGATAGGAGAAAGAGTTAAGCTCCTTGTAACTGGTGCACGCTTGATGACATACCATGAGGTACGCTGGATTTAGTCCTCACCCTCTGGGGTCTTGTTCAACAACCAGTCTGGATTTTTAGTATCTGTTTCTGTATATTGGGCCTCTGTTCTTGCTCACCATGGCTTAGATTTTATTTCTTTAGACTGGGAGGCTTCTACCACTTGGACTCATCAGGCGAGACTACTGGCTGTTTCCTTTGGGGCTCCTTCCTCCCCTTTCACCCCAACCTTTTCACTAATGAGATATTATCTCAGAAGTAACTCAAAGTTCTTATTTTTGTAATCAATTCTGTGTCAGTCTTCATAGTCCCTCAAATTAACTTAATAAAGTCTTATCATAATTCATTATGGAAACTGTGTTATTAATGAACTCACAGTTTGAGTAACGTAACACTGTTGCTTGACGTGCCTATCCAGGAATGCTTTGTCTGGAGCTTGCTCCTGGGTCCCATTGGCCAGTCCCTTCGCCAACTGACTGGGCTTAGACTGCCTGGCGTCTATCCCCTCTCTGTGGTAGACCACCTATTGTGGGCCAATCCTGCCCCCTTGGCCAGCTACTTTCGTCTTCTTGGCTCCTGAGCTTGTGCCAGTCTTTTCCAGGTCGCTTACCTTGATGCCACTCTTCCCCAGCTTGCAGACACTGCTGCCCAAGCCAGTCTTCCCTGGCTTCCCTGCTCTGCTGCAGGTCTCCCCTGGTGTGCAGAGTCAGCTGCCTTCACTGGTCTTCCCTGGTTTGCAGGCACTGCTGCCCGAGCCAGTCTTCCCCAGCTTTCCTGCCTCTAGCTGTTTGCTGGTTCTCTTTAAAAGCCCGTTTGCCTCTTCTGGCTAGACCAAAAGCAGCTAACTGCCTTTCCCCTCCCCATCTCTGACACACACACACAGCCCACACACGCTTTTAACACATGCTGGGGGCAGTTCGGGAGTCGTCTGCCACTCATCTGACACCACTGAGGCATCCTCCTGCTGGTAAGCAGCTCTCATGGCCCTTCCTGGGCCAATGGTTTTCTTCACAGGGTGCGGCAATTTGCTCCCTGCTGGTCCCCGTTTGGGACCTTCCTGCAGTGTGGGAGGCATGCTCGCACACTCCTTTATGAAACAACTAGCCAATTGCCCATCAAGAATGATGGGGGGGGGTGGGCGGGGACAGAGGCCTGCATCTCTTCCCCCACACCTCAGGCTGGGACTGGGGCTAGGGCCATTCCCTCTCTCTCCCCTGCTGCTTTGGGCCGCAGCTGGGGCCTGGGCTGCTCCCTGCTTCCCCCCTGGCACTTTGGGCTGGGGTCTGGGCCATTCCCTCCCTCCCCCTGCTGCTTCAGGCCAGGGCCAGGGCCAGGGCTGCGCCTCCCCCACCACTTTGGATCGGGGCCAGGCCACCTCCCCCCGCCACTTCAGGCTGGGGCTGGGGCCTGAGCCATTCCTCCCCC